TATTTAGACAACTGTTAAAATGTATTAGTTACAGATAAATATTTCATCTGTTATAGATATTTTCATTTTACTATAATAATAACTAAGTAATGTGTAATATGATACTTGGTTATTTTTTTTGCACACTGCCCATTTCATTTCCTTTTTTACTCAGGAATGTAGGTATCTAAAATTCTAATTCTAAAATCTATAAAGATTATATAATTACATTTCATATTGGCCTAAATTATTTTTACTTTATGTATAAAACTTGAAAGATATAAATAAATAGTGAATATCCTATTGGTGAAGATTATTAATTCGAAATATGAAAAGTAACATGTTTAAAAAAATACACCGGTAATGCATAAAATAGAACGGACATAGAAAGTATTTAGGAAGATACGAATAGGTATGTCTGGAAAATTACTACAAATAACTGTACCTACATTTTAAATTAGGAGTAATCTAAAACATAAGTACTAACTGTACCTGAATAATATTACATTGCTCTGCGTATGACTTGTTATACTGGTCACCTAGATTCTTATAGGAAAATAGAGTTTCAAGTTGCCTATACACGACCTTGAATAGACTGATTATTTCCAGGTAATGTTTCCGAAAAAATATTTGAAAAGATCTACATATATATCTAACTATTTATATATAAAAGAGAAGGCGTTCTGTCATTTTAAATGAATATGACATGATGACATCGTAAAGTAAGTATATATAGTATAGTACCACTATGTGTTACTACTCCAGAGAACTAAGGTGTCGTACTTCCCATTCCTTAATTTCACTGCCTAATCACAATGTTCAAATATATCTTACAAAGCACGCTGTTTAGGGTCTAAAACAGATGAAACAGAGAAATGAAACTATTTATTAAATTAGCTCAGTCGAAAGAATTCAAATTATCATTATAGTAAACGGAGGAAGATGATGAAATAAATATGAAAAACATATATAACTACATATAAGAAGGTAATGTCAATAATGTCCTGTATAATAATAAAGCCTATATCCGTTGTGACTAAAAGTGGAGGTGAGAGTTTGAATACATGAGATAGTTGTTCTAATAAGTCTTCAAACAAAAACTTCATGAAGATGTGATATAAGAATTTAATAGAAAAATTAATTCTTACTATTTAAGTGTGTCTAATTAAGTCGATTCCTAAAAATAACACTTTTGTTTTAAGAGTTCCATTATTATACATTATAGCAATAAATTATTGTCTATATTAGGTATATTTCCTGAATTGATAGATCAATGTATTGCAACGGTTTTATTCGAAACTTATTTTATAAATTAATGATATTAATTTCTAGATGAATATAAGCTCATAATTTTTTTTTATGTCTTTACAATTTGCTTATGTGAATAGGTATTTTCTGAATTTTGTTATTGTTCTTGAAAAAAAAGACCGTTTCATTTCCTTATTTATATTACATACATATATTACCATAATGGTATTTTTTAATTACAATATATGCTAAGACTAAGTTTGACTAAGTTGCACTACCCATAGCCACGACCTGTCCAGACCTGAAGAACAGCCATGTCAATTTTGATAGGTGACACCAATTTTTTTCTACTACTGCACTCACGGTTTCCTACGGTTACGTAGGTAGGTAGGTATACCTGCCTATGATTTGGAAAGTAGCAGACTCACCACATAGCCAGTTTGTTTCTTGCTGATTATCCTTACAGATACAGGTAGATAAATATGTCTTATCTCTAAAAATAAAACATTTCTTATAAATAAAGATTTCAGGCTCTACTAAAGATCGAATTCGTCAAAAAACGACCGCCCAAACTGAATTCATTACAATCCCCAACTCTATTGTATTTTATCATACAATCTTTTTTGCACCTCTCGCAAATATATTTGCAACCTCATTATATTGTTCTAATATGTCGCTTTTTGTGAAGCTTCTTAAATACAGTTACGTCAGATAATACCAAATTAAATTGCAAAAAAAAAAGTCGAAACTCACACAAATTTTATTTTATACGTTTATTGTAACGTGACGTTCTAGATTTTCATTTGTGTGGGTGTATTTGTAAACAAAAATGATATTATCAAAGTAGGGTTGCATGGGGGCGGAGCCAGGTGTCACGGGCAGCGGCAGATTTTATCTTAACAGGGGGATGCACGCCACCGCACTGTCGTGTCGCCGACTCCCTCCGACGAACGTTAATGGGTTCGATGCTGTAAACTACTGAAATAATAATTAAATATCAACAATTCCTTTCATCACTAAAACCTCTGCTAACTACCTCGGTCGGCTGGTTCTTTTGACAAAAAGGATATCCTATGTACGTCCTCGTAATACAATTTATCATTTTGATTCCATCAGAATCATCTACCTATATACAAAATTCCATTAAAATCTATTCAGACGTTAAAGAAAGATTTAATTATAACATTTAAATACCGATTTACTATACGACGATTTACGAGTACTGTATCATATATTATAGTTATCTTACATCAATTAATTATGACAAAAATAAGGAAAAATCTATAATTGTAGTTATTCGAAACCGTACAAATCATGACATTATGATCACTTAGATTTAAAGTAATTATATCAGCTGCGACATCGTTCTCTTTTTTTGATAAAATCTAATAAACTGGCGAATGACTGACATACATTCAAAGTATAATATTACTTTAAAAATATGTATTAAATATTAGATTATAAATTTATTATTTGTTTCACACATATTAATTCGAAATGACCACAGTATTTATTACTACAATAAATTGATACCACATAATATTGAAGAAAATGAAAAGCGCAATGTAAGTAAGTACCTACTTAAATATAAGACTGTGAAATGGAGTGTACAAACATCTTTTATTACTGTTTATTGTGCGTTGTTAAATCATCTAAAGGATATTGGAATATAAATAAGTTGTGGGATGTTTACAATATAAATAAATTTAGTTATTTCTTCGCTATTAGCTGATAATACTTGTAAAATTACTAGTAGGCATTTTTAATGGATGGTCGTGAAAAAATTCTCCTGCTTTAACAGTAGATATACTGTCATACATGGCACCGGCATTTTCATATAAAAAGTTGAGTTGATGAACATAAGTTCGATTCAGTTCAATTATCGTAACAAATTTATGAGGAATTAACCCGAGTGAAAATTTCCAGAAATCTTATTCTCTATTAAAATCTAAAAATTCCCTTTAGAAAATGCTTTGTTCAATCTGAGACATAATTACATAGGGAAATTATTAATTAGGTACGTAATTTTTGTTTGTCAAAATTATGGTTTACGTTATTATGCAAGGTATTGCATAATTTCTATAGAATTTGGCAAATTAATTGTTATGCAATAATGCTTACATACAGATATGAAGTCACGTGTTTTTAGTGGTTCGATTTGAATCTATTTTTTATATAATTAATAAAAACAATTTGTACATATTGTTACGAGGCTATACGTCCTCCATACTGGCTATCGTTTCAATATATTTTTTTGGTATCAAAATACATTTTCTTGACCTAATTGCAGTTATAGAAAATATAATTCTATTCTGTACCTACGTGTTATTTATTTGATCATATTAAACTATCTCAACCGAAAAGAATTTGACCAAACACCTATTGTAAGATAGTAGGTATTTGGTTGGTTGTAATTGTAGATACCAAATCTATTGTTATCATTATTTTAAATAACATTTTCGAATATTGTATGAACCTTTTAATATTTATATAATAATGTAGAGCCTGTATAGTAAAGTAGTTAGAACGAACGATATGTATGTGCCATAATCAATTAATCGTAGAGCATGAAGTAACCCAGCCAGTATAATATGATCTTCATGCATAGAGGCCTTAACTTACTAAGCCAATTTACCTTTGAATGTTATAAGTCGGTGCTCGACGCTGCTCATTCCTCTCCCAGTGCAATATGTTAACATATTTTTTAATTTCTTCGCTGGACAGTTAAAGAGGCAATCGCGAGTGCATGCGCAGGAGTGAGATTTATAATAAGAAAACGCTCCTACCGCGCATGCACCATAAGGATCTATAAATCTTTTAAGTACTGCATCGGCCAATCCCTGTTGAGAAACGATAAATCATCCCCGCGGACAGTGAAGTCGAATCGAATACGGTCACCGTCTCGCTCCCACTCGTCGCCACTTATACCAGTTAGATCATTTATCATTTCTACCTCTCGTTCCTTCTCAATGATAAATTCAATTCTCTTTTAGAATATGATTGTTCCTCGTTTTGTTATTGTGGTGTTTTATTGTGGGTATCGTCACGGAGTTGGTTTTTTGATCGGAATCCGATCGAAATGATCGCGAGAATTGGATTTCCATTTTAGATTTGGTGCTTCGAGTGATCAATCTTCTGGAAATCGTATTATGAATACAGGCTGTTGTTTACGAGTTTGGGTTTGAGAAAAAGCGAAGTATGCAAAAACAAATTATTTAGGCATGTGTGTATTTAATGCAGGCATTTGATTTCTATTGATTGTATCGGAATTTCAGATCGATTGCATATATTTCTTGTAACAATATACTTAAGTGAGTTTTGTAAGCATTTATAATATTACAATAATTTGTGTATAATCTACATAATTTATCTACTAAACTCCCTTTTTTATCTTTAGAGTGTTTGTTAAATTGTGAACACTTTCATTAGGATATAGATACTTAATTTATTTCATATCTTTCATTTTTATCTGCTTTAATAATATCTATTTATATTTATAGATATCTATTATTTATTACTGTACAAAATTTCTTATTAGTCGAATTTAGGATCGGTAGGTAATAATAACAGTTGTGTGTCATGAAATTGAAATATGATCTTTTTATTTAATATCTTTGCTATTTACAGGGCTGTAGAAAATACAACAATTCATCTTAAAATAACTTAAAATAGTTCGTGCTCTTTCAGTCATTTAGTTATGTATATTAATATTATAGACATAGGCATTAAATTTATCATCTCTACCTAAAACGACGGTCCGTGAAAAAATAGTATTATAGTCATACAATTCAGAAATAGGTAGCACAATTAAATAGCAACTACATTTAATTTACAATAAAATGAATCCCTTATTCCTATTATCACTGGGCATTTCCCTTACAATTTAATGTCTTTACACATTATTAAACTTAAGGTTACTTTACATGATTTTTACAACCTAATAAATCGTAGTTTTATAAGACTTCGGTACTTTGGCCATGATGCTCAATATAATTTTATGTAAGGTACAGGTTGTCAAATATTCACTATAATGTAGTGGTGATAAAACAATGTAACTACTAGTAATTAGCTATCAAGTTGTAGATTATAATTAAAATTCCTTGCTACTTTGTAGGTCGTATACTATAAATTAAAAAAATGTAGTAATTTTATTTTACAAAATGCCATTTGCAACAAGGTGCATACAAAAAATACAATAAATCTCTGTCAACAATGATGTTGACAAAAATCTTTGCTGTATTGTAATTTTAGTCCCCAAAGGTGACCATACAAAAGTTTCTAACAGACAAACGTTACGAAGACACTTTGTTTACTAAAATATGACATGTTGTAAATGTAATACAATCAAATAGCGGTCATTGTTTACAACCAGTTGTCTCAAATTCCGCTGCTCAAAGTAATTTTGTGACAATTACCTATATATTTCCACTTTACTGTTTACACTTTTAGATTTCTTTATAAATATTAACAATGAGTGGCTGGATTTAGTGAAACATCGGACGGCATCTCATGATTTACTGGTCAGACTATGTTAATCAACTAATTAATAAGCGTATTGTACTACGAACCAGTATTATTATAATATTCTGTAATTGTACTCCCACAAACACTCAATCTGCGCTTAAAAAACTTTTCATTCCACGCTAATTTCATTCTCACACTGCAAAAAATAATGAATAAATGTATTGTAAACCTATCTACTTACAAATGACTATTAGGAATTTGTATTGGTTCTTATGTTAACTAATCGTTGAATGAAGAGTTCTCTAAGCGCGGTGCGGTCAGTAAGCGGCAGCCGCGCCCGAGTGATGCATCAAATGGTGGTGGTGGTACGACTCTTGCGTGGGACACCACCACTCAGGCACACCGTGAGGCATCGTAGCCGCCGGCTGCTGGAACTGACTCCAGTGACCGCCAAAGCCTATTTTATTATCCATAACACCGTTCCCACCTATATTTGTTAAATGGGGAGGTTGATGTTGATGTGGAGGTGCTGGTGGACGTTCATATGGTTTTTGGTCATGAGGGTTGAGGTATTTTTCGTTTAGGCTTTCTAATTTATCGGCTATGGAAGGATGGTGGTGTGGGTGATGGGTCGGGGCTGGCGGAAGGGGTGGTGGGAGGGGTGCAGCGGGGCTTGCCGCGCCGGCTGTAACACTGACGCTGCCGGCTGATGAGGAGTCATCGCCGTCACTGTCGTAGCGTGGCGACGCATCCCCAGCGGCTCCGTGCACCTTCATATGCTTCCGTAGAGATGAAGGGTGCGTGTACGACTTGTCGCAGCCATGGACGCGGCAGTTGTAAGGTTTGTCCGACGTGTGGACATGCGAATGTTTCTTTCTATCTGACGAGTTTGCAAATCTTCGGTCGCAGCCAGCGTACTCGCATTTGAATGGCTTCTCACCTGTTAACAAAGAAATTTCAAATACAGATACACAAATATTTATAAAATCAGTATACTATGGCTTAATTTTCAATACATAGTTAATCTTTACTTAATGAGTGCACCAAGTAAAGGTTTCAAGTCAATATTGCAAATATTCAAATGAATTTGAAACTTAACTCTGAAACTGACAACAACAATGACAGTAAAAGATACAATAACCTTGAACAGTTAGTTGCATTTGTTTAAATTAACTAAAGCTAATGTAGACACTATTTCATATTCAATAATAATACCTAATAATTTACATTAGGTAAATACCTACTTTGTTGAGTTAAATATAAAATTGTGGAATATACAAAATGAAGAAATAAACCTATAGATATAATTACTAAAGTAAAGTATAAGTATCAGTAAAGCATTCAATTCGTTACTTTTACGGATTTGATTTGAGAATAAAACGATCGAACCGCGTATACGCAAATGTCCAATCAGCTCATAAATAATCAGATTTGCTCGTTGTTCCATAGTTTACGAGCACAAATAATATCCACAACAATTGCACGGGATACTTAACACGGCCATAAATCATATTTATAACACGACTTTGTCACGTTGAGCTAACAAAGGACTGCAACAGTAAATAAACCATATTGGACTTTAACATCTGTGTTGCTGTATTTAGAACTGAGTTTTTGATAGCTTCTGGTGCGTGCTCAAGGTAAAAAGGAGATGGGTCGATATTGCTTTCGATGATAATGATAATAATTAAAGTTCTTCTGTCCACTTGTGTCTTTAACACTCTACGGCAAATAAAGGTCTATTCATTTTCAATGGGATAGGCACTTACATTGTTGTCATACCTATCAAGTGTTGTGTATTGATAAAGGTAGATATACTAATAATATTTAGATATTTAATACTTGCTGTGGTTCGCGGTTTTATTGGTTTTTTTTATAAACAGCAAAGTTTCATTAAGATCCGCTCAGCCGTTTAAACGTAAAATGCAAGCCAGACAGATACACTTCCGCAATATTTAGAATAATAAGGTACTACGGTAACGTCTTCAATGTTCTCAGCCTTCTGAACCCGGGTATACCTACCCCTTAGTAAATCACTTGAGCGATAGGAGAATAATGGTTTATTAAAAGACATATCGTTTACTGCATGAAGATGAATAGTAAAACTGTGAGTTATAGAAAGTAGTCAGCAGATTTAATTATGGACAACATAATTAAATCTGCTGGCCACTTTCTATAACTCATTAGAATATAAATGAATCGTAAACTGTATCATGGTGGTTGAAACACTGCCGGAATATCGGGAATTTAGCAAATAAATATAAAACGTGGTAAGATCCCGTGATTTTTACTAATTATACGTAGGTATAAATAATGACCGTGTCAAATTTAAAACAGTATATAAATGAATGGTATTTAAAATATATATTTCATTTTAACAGTATTTATTGCTATTAATTTCCTATCGATATAATAAATTTTAATAGAAGTTTTCTTCATGACTAATTATCAAAAGTGAATACCTACATACCAAAGATTCTATTTTGCTTCTGATCTTTCCTGTGGGTTTTATAATAATATGTAATTTGTTCTTCGTTTATTAAAATACAAAGTTGAAAAAAGGGGATCATTTTATTGATTACTTGGAATAGTAATCAACTGGACGGTCCACCCCATGGTAATAAGATACCTATAAGAACATGCAGGTCATAATGACATTGAGTTGTCATTATGACGCACATGGTACCTCCAAATAAATTGCCATTGGTAGACTGAGATGTCATATCTGCCAACGAGTCTAAATTTACAAACTTATAATAATAATAAGTAATTTAAATTCATATTACAATATACATTTTTATACAATTACGAAAGTATATCGTTGGATTTGTCTACCATTAGAAAATATTTATAATGGCCCATATCGACCCCAATTTTTTGCACGTTCCCATATTTTTTCTTATTACGACCACTCCCGCGACCGCGCGTATTGATAAATTCTTCACGAGATCATCGGAGCGTATGAGAGTAATATTCAATAAAATACATTATAAGTAGGCACAACGCTCATAGCTAGTGTGACCATGTCGTATCACAATACGCCTCTCTTTGTTGTGTTTACAAATAAACCACTTCGCATGTAATCCTGTGCATTGTGATTGAAACTTGAAGATCGCGTTGAGGACAGACAGATGCTAATCTCAAGTGTCTGTTAACACGGCAATAATAGGGCTTTTTAGGTGTTCCCTCGCCGCAAATTTTGCTATACACCCAACCACAGAATAAACGTACGAGTAGCATCACTGGATTATTTTGAATGGAATGATACTTCCTTTCTTTCATTCAACACTTCATTGCAAAATATTTGCACTGTAGCTATCACACACGGTGTACAAAGCTTTATAGTGTAAGTAGGAGTATTTTTTACCTTCTTTTGTATCGATGGATAAAAGGGATCACAATTTTCAAAGGCGATCATGATGTCGAGGTCAAAACAATAAAAACGTCTCGGGTACATGCACTAACGAGATAAAGAAGACCAAAACATGTGTCGCCGTCTAATTAGTAATCGGGCGTGTGATCTCGATGTGATGTCACAAAAAAGGATCGACAACGAAATGCTATTAGAATGTGAGGTGATGCGTTATCGCGCACGCGCCGCGCCCTGCTTCTGTATCGTCTTGAGTTGACTATGACGCAATTCCCTGATACATAGTAATCTAAATAAGTTATAATAAGTAAGTCATTTTTGTTAATATATTTTGTACTTATAAATAATTCATTACAAATAATATTCTTAATAACATAATAAATGAAAAATCGTTTAAATGCAATGATGTGTATGGATTCGTCAGTTTTAGACAAACAGAAAGTTGCAAACTGTTAAACTCTTGCCTCGATTAAATTATAATATTACATTATGCATACAAATAACAACAAAAATATAATTAAAAATGTGTGGTTGGTTGCGGCACATTACAAAAGATCTTTTTATTTTAAGGTTTTTAAACAAAATAAGTTATTTTTACCGATGTTCTTAGAATTTTCAAATTTATATTAGGTACCTACATAGTAAAATTTAATCATCACGTTAATTAGAATTAACTAATTTTAACTTTTCAACATCTATAATAATAATAATAATAATAATCTCAAATTAAGCTTGTGTTACGGGTAGGTACTAGATAACTGATACAAGTACAAAGATTTTTTTTTTTCGTAAATACATACATATTATTCATAGAAAACACCCAGACCGATACAAACAATCATACTTATGAATGTTTGTGCCGTGCGAGGAATCTAACCCGCGACCATCGGACGTAAAAGCGGTGTGCTAGACCGCTAGACCACCGAGGCCTATCATGCTGCAATCTTTTTTTTTTCATACTTGCCGAGAACTCGGGAATATATGTTATATTTTTTATTTTGTAAGTTTTTGTTCATATGTATGTCACTATCCAGTATAGTAATACATCACACTAAATAATATGCATAGTGTAGTTTAGGTAATATTTATTATGGTTACATTCGTTTAGTGACACTGTGACACCAAATAAAAAGCTTAAAAGTCGGGCCCGGGGTATGCACGGCATTGGCATCGTGAATTCACCGCATGCCACGCCGGGACGCTGCTAGGGTCAGATGTTATCTTAAACGGCTGTATTACTGTATCACCAACAGGAGACACTTTTTTGTAGCCAACCTATCGATGTGATGAATCGTATTCACAAATTGTGTTGGCATCAGAATCACTACTAAAGGATATTAAACATAAAATTATTAAAAATGCATTTTCTTAAGGACTTTGTGCTCTAATGCAATTTCAATAGAAATAAGAAATAAGATCACGTTTCGTTATTTTTTCTTCTCTATCGCTCTATAAATTTGTCACAATTGGATTGTTTTACATTGTGTATTAAAATTAAATTATAATAATTCTTAGCATTACCTACCTATGCTTATGGCAATATATGAGAAACTTTAAAATGAAATTACTATTATTGTTAATAATTTTTATAAAATACCTGTCTATGTTTATGATAAATTGCATCATAAATACTGACAAATTATAATTAATCGGCTATATAGTTGGCGAACAAATCACCAGTTGGCACGTCGCCTAGCCCGAATTACTCCGCGCTATCTGGTTACAAAACGCTACTTAAGTGCGCTCCGTTGAGAAAACAAGCTTTTTAGAAATAACACAAGTTTCTGAAACCTGACACATTTGGCCTTTGCTCTCAAATAGTGGTAAATGGCTTTAGGTGAGTTTAGAGAAATAACAATCGCGAGTTTATTCAATATCGTGTTGCGGTCGGTGATGGCAGCATGGGCGCCGATGATGTTACCTATTAATTTACTTCAAAATCTGCTATTAGGTTTTCCTATGTATGTGGAATGGGAAAACAAAGAAAAAACAAAACCCTTCTGATTGTAAATGGCTACCAACCTGACCAACACCATGAACAACAAATCAACACGTGACTCCGGTGATAGAAGTGTATCACCGGAGTCACGTGTTGATTTGTTACAATACATGAGTAAGCATTGTCTTTCCAGAGGACTAAGATGTCATATGTGAAGAACTGGTAAGAGAAAATACACAAACAAAGTACATTGGTAATACTTTTTTTATATAAATTATATTAATTGTTCAAGATTGACATCAGGCGCTTGTGAATGTGAATTTGGTTTAATTAAGCTCAACTATTGATTAGCTAAAAATATTTTTAGCACTAAGAGATCTAATAGAAACTATGTTTGATGAATAAAGTAGTTTTTCTTGTAATAGGTATTTGTTATTTAGCTGTATATATATATATATATATATATTTATTTATTTATAATAATATCTCAGAACAATTTACACAACGTCATCATATAAAATACATAGATGCATTTTTTTTTATATTATTATATATAGAAAACACCCACACCGATACATACAATAATACGCATAAAAACAAATGTTCGTACCGTGCGAGGAATCGAACCCGC